AAATTTTAGCAAGGGGTTCGCTGCCCGGTTGCTGGGTGGCCGTGGCCATGACCTCCCCAGGCTCCAGAGGCGCGTTTCCAGCCTTCCCGAACTTCCGATAGGCCCATTTTTCGCCCTCCACGAGCCTCCTGCATCCAAAACGGACCGCGTGGGGACTCCTGGGAGGGGTGGGGGTGGGAGGGGCCAGCCAGGAGTGGGATTTGGGGGTTCTCTGAACTGCACAGAACTTCGCTAGAGGTTCTCCCGAACCCTTGCGAACCCCCAGCAGCCCACCCCTTAATTATGCTCGTCAAACTGAAGATATCCGGGAGAACCCTGGAAGCTCCCGTGGGAAACTAAGATCAAAGGCAATCACTCAAATGCTCACATCACCGGAGCTTTGGGTCTTAATCAAGACTTCCAGGAATTATTACATTTCTCTCTCTCTCTCTCTTTGTTCCGCAAACTGAACAAGTTTGAAAGAAGAACATTGGACTGGTTTGAACTTTGTCCCTTCTTACGAATCCTTCCCTCGGTAATCCGTATGAGACTGCTAACTCAGGTTCACTGCCCTCGGAGGTGTTATTCCTTAACTATTAATAGAGATGGAGGCTTCCTGACATTGCAAATTAGCAACGGATAAAAGATAGGGTGAGAAACGCAGCAGAGGCTAGGCTAATGGTCCATAGAAATAGCAATAGCACTTATATACTGCTTTACAGCTCTCTCTAAGTGATTTACAGAGTCAGCCTCTTGCCCACTAAAACCTGAGTCATCATTTTTACTGATCTTGGAAAGATGGAAGGCTGAGTCAACCTTGAGCCGGTCAGGATCAAACTCCTGGCAATTGGCAGAATTAGCCTGCAATACTGCATTCTAACAGGAAGGAAGGAAGGAAGGAAGGAAGGAAGGAAGGAAGGAAGGAAGGAAGGAAGGAAGGAAGGAAGGAATAGCAACCACGCTTAAACTTATATAGAATAGAATAGAATAGAATAGAATAGAATAGAATAGAATAGAATAGAATAGAATAGAATAGAATTTTATTGGCCAAGTGTGATTGGACACACAAGGAATTTGTCTTGGTGCATATGCTCTCAGTGTACACAAAAGAAAGAAAGAAAGAAAGAAAGGAAGGAAGAAAGGAAGGAAGGAAGGAAAGAAAGAAAGAAAGAAAAAAAGAAAGAAAGAAAGAAAGAAAGAAAGAAAGAAAGAAAGAAAGAAAAATATATACTGCTTCACGGTGCTTTACAGCCTTCTCTAAGCAGTTAACAGAGTCAGCCTATGGATGCCAGCAATCTGGCTCCTCATTTTACCGACCTCCAACGGATGGAAGGCTGAGTCAATCTTGAGCCTGGTGAGATTCGAACTGCCAAATTGCAGGAAGCTGGCAGTCAGCAGAAGTAGCTGCAATACTGCATTCTAACCACTGCGCCACCATGGATCCATGCTGATCTTCTCCCAGTTTGTCCTTTTGGGTGTGTTTATGTGGGAATTTTGCTAAATGCTCATGGTGAACGAGAGCATGGAGAGCTTGGAGAGTGGAGGGAATATTTCCTTTGCACCATTTTAATTTTTTAAATTCTACCTTTATAATTAACACACCAAGTGGGGAATGCACATAGAACTCCTTCCTCCTTCTACTTTTCTCAGAAGAACTCTGTGAGATGGGTTGGAGGTGTAAGAGAGGGACTGGCCCAAAATCACTCCGGGGACTTTCATGCCCAAAGGCAGAACTAGAACTCCCCATCTCCTGGTGATTGGCCCAAAGTCATCCATCTGGCTTTCACGCCTAAGACAGGACTAGAAGTCACAGACTCCTGGTGATTGGTCCAAAGTCACCCAGCTGGCTTTCATGCCTTAAGGCAGGACTAGAACTCACCATCTCCTGGTGATTGGCCCAAAGTCACCCAGATAACTTTTGTGCCTAAGGCAGGACTACAACTCGCCAGCTCCTGGTGATTGGCCCAAAGTCACCCATCTGGCTTTCACGCCTAAGGCAGGACTAGAACTTGCCAGCTCCTGGTGATTGGCCTAAAGCCCAGGATACAAATAAATAAATAAATAAATAGTGTCACCCAGTCGGCTTTCATGGCTAAGGTGGGACTAGAACTCCCTATCCCCTGGTTTCTAGCCCAGCATCTTAACCCCTACTAGCTCTCAATGATGCAGGAATTGGGAAGGGTGGAGGGATAATCAAAGGGGGGGACAAACAGCAATGCAGATGGGAGCTTAAAAAGGGGGGGCAGAGACTACCCCCCAGGATACAAATCCATGCTGGGGGTGGGGGGAGTGCAGGGAAATACAACCAGCCCAGTGGTGAAATCCAATTTTTTTTACTACCGGTTCTGTGGGCGTGGCTTGGTGAGCGTGGTGTGGTTTGGTGGGCATGGCTTGGTGGGCATGGCAGGGGAAGGATCCTGCAAAATCCCCATTCCCACCCCACTCCTGGGGGAAGGATACTGCAAAATCCCCATTCCCACCCCACTCCTGGGAAAAGGATCCTGCAAAATCCCCATTCCCACTCCACTCTGGGGCCAGCCAGAGGTGGTATTTGCCGGTTCTCCGAACAACTCAAAATTTCCACTACCGGTTTGCCAGAATCCGTCAGAACCTGCTGGATTTCACCTCTGAACCAGCCCCTTCCTTCAGTGTCCTCCCCCCCCAGGAAATCACTTAGGTTTCACCAGCAGCGAAAGAGTCATCCTATTAGATTTTCTGTTTCCCTGCCTCTCAATCCTTGGCAGAAGTCCCCGCTTTTTATGTAACCGATATAATCACTTAATACTCACTCGGGAACATGCAGAGAATTGCACAAACTCACACGCCCGCGTACACACGCACGCCAGCTTGTTATGTCAATAGTCCTAAGAGACGTTGAGAGAAGGCAGGCGGTCACCACAGATGGGGAACACGGTGCACAACTCGCTCCGGGTCTCTCATTTTGTCTGTGCTTTCCAGCTGTTCCTCCCCCAGCTGTGACCCCCCCGAAAAGCCACAGGGTGGAGCTGCAGCTGGAAAGGCCGAGGACACCTATAAGGTCAGCATCCTGCCCAAAGGTGATATCTGCACTCAACATACATAGTGATAGCACTTAGACGTATATACCGCTTCACAGTGCTTTTACAGCCCTCTCTAAGCGGTTTACAGAGTCAGCCTCTTGGCCCCCCAACAATCTGGGTCCTTGTTTTACCGACCTCGGAAGGATGGAAGGCTGAATCAACTTTGAGCCGGTCAGGATCGAACTGCTGGCAATGGGCAGAATTAGCAGCCTGCAGTACTGCATTCTAACAGGAAGGAAGGAAGGAAGGAAGGAAGGAAGGAAGGAAGGAAGGGCAATAGCTGTAGCACTTAGACTTATATACCGCTTTACAGTGCTTTACAGCCCTATCTAAGTGGTTTACAGAGTCAGCCTATTGCCCCCAACAATCTGGGTCCTCATTTTACCCACTCCAGAAGGAGGGAAGGCTGAATCAACCTTGAGTCGGTCAGGATCGAACTCCTGGCAATTGGCAGAATTAGCCTGCAATACTGCATTCTAACAGACAGGAAGGAAGGAAGGAAGGAAGGAAGGAAGGAAGGAAGGAAGGAAGGAAGGAAGGAAGGAAGGAAGGAACTGTAATTTAACACCAGCTATCTGCAATTAAAGTAAGATCGAATCTCGCCATATACCTGCTTAGTAGGGCTTTCGGGGGGCCCCCCAAGCGGTGTTCTTTTTTATACAAAGTCAGCTTATTGCCCCCACAAACCAGGTCCTCATTTTACCTACCTCGAAAGGATGGAAGGCTGAGTCAACCTTGAGCCTGGTGAGGTTTGAACTGCTGAACTGCAGCTAGCAGTCAGCTGAACTAGCTTGCAGTACTGCACTCTAACCACTGCGCCACCTCGGCTCTGTTTCCACTTCACCCTTTCCTCAACCAGACATGGACTTTTCAGGAGTGGCTGTTGTCCCCATCTTTTGCCAAGTCACTCAGGTTGCCAAGCTAGAGAGAGGTTCCCTGAAGAGGAGCTCCAGCAGGAGTCCAAAAGTTCGGAAGACAAAAACCTCTGGTCCCGGTGACCGACCCAGATTGGATCCTGCATCGTTCAGGTTCCCTTAACTCAAGAACACAGAGAGCCCCAAGCCATTCAGGACGATGGTGGTATTGGCGGCCGGTAACCAGGCATTTAATCACGCCTGACCTCACCTGGACGCAGTACAATTAGGCCACTGGGCCATGCCCTCGTTGACCCAGGTACCACGGCCATTCCACCTGGCTGTTTTCCTGAGGAGATGAGGACATTACGTGCCCGGAGTGTGCCAAGGGTGTGTTGGAAAAAAACAACCACCAGGTGCGCTTGGAATGGATGGAAAAACAGGAGGTTACGGAGTGCAATGTTACTGGAGAACGAAACGGGGCTGTGAGGATTTGGATTTTTCGAGATTTACAACCGCCGAGGTTACGGAGGCTTCTGCCCAGCTAGGAGCAGGAAGCCAAATGGGGGTGAACTGTCAATTAACACCCCCCCTTTATAAAAATAACCTGCTAACAGATTTAGCAATTTAGCAAAATTAATGGTCAATTTGGGCAGGACAAGAGAGGTCGTACGTTGTGTGAAGGCTGGGTTAAGATAACATCTGGACCAGGGGTGAAATTAACTTACCTTCCCTACCGGTTCGCCAATGTGTGTGCACTGCACGCTCGCGTCCTCTGCTCGCCATCGTCTGCGCGTACACAGAGGCTTAAAATGTCGCAAAAAGCGACATCGTGACGTCCGTGTGGGTGGGCGGAGCCTCCCGCAGCTGCCGCTACCTATTCGCCCGAGCCGTATAGAACCAACTGAATTTCATACCTCGTCTGGACTCTATGTTGCTACCTTGAGAAATCTCTTTCTTTGTGTTGATTTTAGTTCGACTCACCTTTCAGTGCTGCTTTGCATCAGTGAGGACTCATTCCCGCCCCACCCCCAAATTTTCCTAGTCCCATGGAAAAAGCAGAGCCCTCCTCCACCCCCAACCCAGTTCAAATCGTGGAGCCTCTTACCGGATTATCCTTGCTCAGGACGTCTGTCTGACTGTCAGTCCACTCCCACTGCTGAACGGAGGAACGGCTAGTGGGGCGGAGGGAAGGGGTGATGACCTCCGGGGTAGAGTTGTGCATGCCAGGGCCCGGGGAGCGCCCCCCTTTGCGACTGTAGGACTCCAAGTAGTCCTGGACATAATCCGAGTGTCTGCTGGTCTGGTAAAATCCTTGGATGCTACAGAGCTCTTGTCGGGGGCGGGCGATGAAGGGGCTGCGGGTAGAGGTGGAGGGGTAGGGGTCCGAGGACAAGTGCATGGAGGAGAGGTCCCGCGCCAAGTCGGAATGGCTGCTGGATTTCTTGCGTCCCAGCGGGTTGGCACCATAGCTGGTCGAAGGGCCGTTCGCAAAGGAGTAAGTGGCCCCTCCACTCAGCCCTCCGGGGGGCCGCACGGGGACCCGGCTGTATCCGGGGCTCAGCCTGGTGCCCGAGTCCGGGCGCTGGAGCAGCCTCCCGCCTCCATCGAAGTTCAAGGAAGAGGAGGCGGTGGCCCCCGACGTCCGCAGGTGGGTAGAAGTCAAGTAGCTGGAAGGAGTGGTGGGCTTGTAGTTGAGCTTCTCTTTGTCCGAGTAGGAGGCGGAGAGTTTTGAAGAGTAGGAATAGGTGGCATAGCTGGTGGAGGCTTTGCTGCAAGGCAAGGTGTCCGAGTAGCGGGGTGAGTCCACGTAGCGCTTCAAGGTGGAAGAGAGCTGGGACATCCTGAGGGAGGGGGCGCTGGGGGAGATGCGGGTGGCATTGACTGAAAGAGAGCAAAAGCAAGAACCAGTTAGCTGGAAGGGCTGGCATGAAGGGGGGTCCTTGCCAACCTTCAGGATCAGCAGAGGGGAAAGATCCAATGGCCTTCCAACAATGGTTGGCCAATGGATTCTTCATGGCGTGCCGTTGACTGAATCCATGAAGTCAACTGGGAACATCTACTAGTCAACCAGGCATGATCCAAGAAGCCTAAAAGGGTTGACTCTGGTTAGGTCTTGGAAGGAGAAGTGTCTGGTGTGGGGAGACCAGAACTGCCTGGCTGGACTGGAAGATCAACCCCCCACCCTTTGCCCAAGTTGAGCCAACCCACTACTGTATCATACCCAGAAGATGACAAGAAGGTGTGAGTCTGTCTACAAAAGCTGCCAGAAGTTGGGCTCAACTTCAAGCAGGCATGACGTGGTTCCAGGACCTGGATTTCAAGTCTTGGGATGGAAAGAGGTGGTCCCAAACACTTCCAGATGATGGCCAAGAAAACCACGCAGACGAGCCCAGATAATTTTCTTGGAGGCCACAATCATATCTAGCAGGAAGTGTCCATCCAGGATGGTGACTTGGCTTCCAAGCCCATTCAACTTAGATGGTCTCCCATGGAAGCCATGATTGCTATTACTAGTAGGGTTATTACTATTACTGCTATCATCATTATCAAAACATAAAAACACCATCAACAGAAGGGAAGGGAGGGAGGGAGGGAGGGGGAGAGAGAGAGGGAGAGGGAGGGCAGGGGGAGAGAGAGAGAGGTAGGGAGGGAGTGGGGAGGGAGAAAGAGGGAGGGAGAGAGAGGGGGAAGGGAGGGAGGGAGAGAGAGGGGGAAGGGAGGGAGGGAGAGAGACAGAAAGAAAGAGGGAGGGAGAGAGACAGAAAGAAAGAGGGAGGGAGGGAGAGAGAGAGGGAGGAGGGAGGGAAGGAGGGGGAGAGGGAGGGAGGGGGAAGAGAGGGAGGGAGGGAGGGGGAGAGAGAGAGGGAAGGAGGGGGAGAGAGAGGGAGGGAGGGTGGGGGAGAGAGGGAGAGAGAGAGAGAGAGAGATCTCCATATAATAAGTATTGGCATTGATATCAAGTTGACCCAATCTTTCAGCTAATTAAATCTAGACCGGATAGGTGCATTTTGCTTCAGCTTCTCATTTCTGGAAGACGCAAGACTTTTCAGAAACAGATAACAGAGCCATCTCCTGAATCTCTTCCTTGGTATCAAGAAGGTAAATTTCTTCCCGTTCGCATAAAACCATCCTCTCTGTCAGATCTTCCACTCTACGAGGGCTCCCTTCTCAGCCCACCTGTCCCCACAAAGACACCCTGTCCCCTCCTTCCCGATGCACCGTGCTCCCATCCTTCTAACCCAGCTCGGCCTCCCAGGATGAGAGTCGTAGTCCCACATCGGAAGAGTAAACAACCTTGAGAGAAGAAGTTCAACTCTTTTTTGTCAGCTTTTGGAAGAATTGGAATAAGCATCAAGGAGATGCGAAGCTCACTCGTGCCTCCTGCTGGTAAAACAACGCCATTTTGCAAAGAAACCGGTAACTAAGAATGATAGAATAATTTACACAGGCGCTTGGTTCACAGAAGTTCAACTAAAGGGGGTCAAAGCAGCTAAAACATGTTTTCAATGAGTCGACACACAACCATGTGAAGCCACAGCCACCAGTGGTTCGGCTGGGGTTGGCCTCCATGTGCATCAAGTTGTTCCTAAGGACCTAGGACAGAGGTCTTTCAAACTTGGCAGCTTTAAGACTTGTGGACTTCAACTCTCAGAATTCGTTAAAGTCCACAAGTCTTAAAGCTGCCAAGTTTGGGGACCCCTGATGTTGTCGGATATCACATATCCACATATCACATCGGATATGTGAAGAGTGTGGGGCCTTTTGCCATTGATGGAAGGAAATTTTGTCAATACCCAGGTTTTCTAAATATGATAGTCGAAGTCTGCTATCATGTCATCCCAGTCCTTCTTTTCATTAAATTTTCATTAGGTAAAGGTAAAGGTTCCCCTGGCACATACATGCTAGTCGTTCCCAACTCTAGGGGGCGGTGCTCATCTCCATTTCAAAGCCGAAGAGCCAGCACTGTCCGAAGAAGGCCTCTCCGTGGTCATGTGGCTGGCATGACTCAACGCCAAAGGCGCACGGAACGCTGTTCCCTTCCCACCAAAGGTGGTCCCTGTTTTTCTACTTGCATTTTTTACCTGCTTTTGAACTTCCAGGTTGGCAGAAGCTGGGACAAGTAACGGGAGCTCACCCCGTTACGCGGCACTAGGGATTCGAACTGTTGAACTGCCGACCTTTCAATCAACAAGCTCAGCATCTTAGACACTGAGCCACCGTGTCCCTTTTTCATTATTTTTCATTATTTCATTATTTTTCATTCATTAGACTAGACATATGATACCACTCTAACGGCAGAAAGCGAAAAGGAACTAAAGAGCCTCTTGATGCGGGTGAAGAAGGAGAGTGCAAAAGTCGGCTTGAAACTCAACATTAAGAAAACTAAGATCATGGCATCCGGCCATCTCAACACCTGGCAAATAGATGGGGAAGAAATGGAGGTAGTGACAGATTTTATTTTCCTGGGCTCCAAGGTCAGCGCAGATGGGGACTGCAGCCAAGAAATCAAAAGACGCTTGCTCCTGGGGAGGAAAGCTATGGCAAATCTAGACAGCATACTAAAAAGCAGAGACATCACCCTGCCAACAAAAGTGCGTATAGTCAAGGCTATGGTTTTCCCAGTTGCAATGTATGGCAGTGAAAGTTGGACCATAAGGAAGGCTGAGCGCCAAAGAATGGAGGACTTTGAACTCTGGTGCTGGAGAAGACTCCTGCGAGTCCCTTGGACTGCAAGGCCATCCAACCGGTCAGTCCTAGAGGAGATCAACCCTGACTGCTCTTTAGAAGGCCAGATCCTGAAGAGTAAACTCAAATATTTTGGCCACCTAATGAGAAGGAAGGACTCCCTGGAGAAGAGCCTAATGCTGGGAAAGATTGAGGGCAAAAGAAGAACGGGACGGCAGAGAAGGAGGTGGCTGGATGGAGTCACTGAAGCAGTCGGCGTGAGCTTAAATGGACTCCAGAGGATGGTAGAGGACAGGAAGGCCTGGAGGAACGTGGTCCATGGGGGTCGCGATGGGTCGGACATGACTTCGCAACTAACAACAACAACAAGAAGGTTTTCTAAATATCCTCAAAGATTCTTGAAGACTGCTATCATGTCACCCCTAGTCCTTCTTTTCATTAAATTTTCATTAGAGTAGGCATACCCAGTTCCCGTAACTGTTCTCCGTATGTCAGATTCTGTGCTTTCAAAAAGCTGGATTTTACACCATCCTTTCCCAACCAGAGCTCCAGATGTGCGGGGGGGGAGCACAACTGTCCTCCTCCAGCTTCTCTGCCGTTTTACCCTTCTGTAACCCCAGTGAAAACCGAGAGAGGAAAAACTCCGCCCTCTGAATTCCTACCTGCCCGCCAACTCTTTTGAAAGCTCGAGCGATCCAAGCGGGGAAAGAAGATATTAATTCTCGCACGGAAAAATCTGGGAACAGCCTGTTCTCCGAGGAGGAGGAGTCCTGTTTCAACACACCTTTGACACCTGGAGAGAAGCTTTCTCTGGCTCACCTGATCTGGATGCCTCCCGAGCAGCTCACCTTCTTCATGTGATCCTTTGCTGCCGCGTGCTTCTCTCTGTCACTAAGGGCATGCATAAGAGAGGCTAGGCAGGTCTCGAGGGAGCCTGTCACCGCAGCGGTGGCACCTGATAGCCTGGGGCACACGGGGTCCAGCACAGGAGCCCTCCGGTAGCTTTCAAACCCCAGGATTGTAATGTTCTCCTTGCACACAATAAGCCACGCACAAAGGCTGCCGTCTAGCGGCCTTCGGAAGGCAACACACTCCTTTCTTGCCAGCCTGCCTCTGCTCGATCTGAGCTCTTCGAGAAACTCAGAAGCTGGATGGCTTCTTTATTTTCCAAACAAGGGTGTAATAAGGGCACTTTGGTCCTTTTTCACAAGGCCTTTTGGTGAACCTGGACATCCAATGTGCACCTGATGATCTTCCTGCTTCTAATGGATTGTGTGAATGTGTTCTCTTGATGGGTTGGGTGAATGTGTCCTCTTGATGGGTTGGGTGAATGTGTTCTCTTGATGGGTTGGGTGAATGTGTCCTCTTGATGGGTTGGGTGAACGTGTCCTCTTGATGGGTTGGGTGAACGTGTCCTCTTGATGGGTTGGGTGAATGTGTCCTCTTGATGGGTTGGGTGAATGTGTCCTCTTGATGGGTTGGGTGAATGTGTCCTCTTGATGGGTTGTGTGAATGTGTCCTCTTGATGGGTTGTGTGAATGTGTCCTCTTGATGGGTTGGGTGAATGTGTCCTCTTGATGGGTTGTGTGAATGTGTCCTCTTGATGGGTTGGGTGAATGTGTCCTCTTGATGGGTTGGGTGAATGTGTCCTCTTGATGGGTTTGGGTGAATGTGTCCTCTTGATGGGTTGGGTGAACGTGTCCTCTTGATGGGTTGGGTGAATGTGTCCTCTTGATGGGTTGGGTGAATGTGTCCTCTTGATGGGTTGGGTGAATGTGTCCTCTTGATGGGTTGGGTGAATGTGTCCTCTTGATGGGTTTGGGTGAATGTGTCCTCTTGATGGGTTGGGTGAATGTGTCCTCTTGATGGGTTTGGGTGAATGTGTCCTCTTGATGGGTTGGGTGAACGTGTCCTCTTGAAAGTTTCCCCTGAGAGGACTTTCCACTCTATCTTCTCTGGGCTTTTTCTATTTTCTTGAAACTCAACCATCCATCTTTGTCCATCCATCCTTCACCCATCCTTTCTATTCCTCCATCCTTCCATCCCTCCCTCCCTCCCTCCCTCCCTCTATCTTTCATAAAAGAGCTCAAAGCAGCCCACACACAGCCCTATCTCTTCCTACTTTCCCCCACAGAACAATCCTACCAAGTAGGTTGGGCTGAGAGAAGGTGACCTCTCCTGGGTTGGATGAATCC